AATCCAAACCTCATTAATAATGTACGAGTAGATAAGCCCTCTGTTCTTTTTCGAACCACATTTGATTTTGATAGCTTCCAAGAACCTAACACACAAAGCGAAGTCGTTCACCCGCCGACAAGCACGCAAAGCGGCTTCCACAACCTAGATAGTTAAGTAAACAATTACGAAAAAAAAGCAGTTATAAGAGGAAAAGATGAGCGAAACAACAACAAAAAAAACTTCGTAAAGAAAATCTAGGAGCTGTCTATGGAATGTTGCTAAAATACCTTCGGATCCGGAATGACATCATAGTCATGAAGCTCAGTAAGAGCTGAAAAACAAACAAATTCATAAGATAATTAGGAAAATCTCAAAGAGAAGAAAGAGCTGCTACTATCAGTCTTCACATAACTGAAAAATACATTCTTTAAACCGCAGGGAGAAAATTACTGCTCAAATTAAGACGTGAAATGACATCTAGAGGTTGTGTCACTAAAAAGTACTTTGGACCGATAAGACTTAAGCTTTTACAATTACTACTATATTGGAAACATTCGTCTGATAGGAGCTTATATGATTGTAACTAAAGTGTATGTCTCATCTTTTTACTCAATCAAAGTCGGACTTCAACCACTGAGTCAAAATTTATTCTAAATCAAGAAATTGTGAAACTGTAACAGTTAATCCTTGTTATTTTCGCTTATCCATCGGCATTAATATATCCAAAGAAACTAAAAAACTTAGTAAGGTTATAAATCGCTATGTAGTTCACAGAGACGAGATTTCATCAGAAAATCTGGCCTAATTTTAGACAATATGCCAACTTTTAGACACGAGTTAAGAGAAAATATAGCAAATATTCAGGAGACAATGTAAACATCGAAAACAAATTTCCAAAAATGACGACTGTCTGTATAAAAAGAAAGAAAAAGCAGAGAATTTTACAATTACCGCAAACACTTTCACTCTTTTATGATGCGAAAATATGGAAAAGTGACCATTTAACAAAAACTTAACCTTTTCTAACTTCCCAGCCGTCAATTTCCGGTCTGTTGAAATAATCGATGAAATGCTTATCGAATTCTGAAACGGGAAAAAAGGATTTCTGAAATAAGCGGATACACAAAAAAACCTATTTGTTAACGAATTTTCGTCTTGAGTCTTACTCTCAAAACAATAAATCAGAAAGATTCGAAAAAAAAATCAATCATCACAAAAAAGTTTACATCTACCAAGCACTTACGCTCTATTCGAAGAATTCGATCACAGACAGTTACTATATATATATATATATATATAATATATATATATATATATGTACATATACATACATGCATATGTGCATATATACATATGTATATGTATGCATGATATATACATATATATACACATACATACACGTATATATATGTAAATATATACATATGTATATGCATACATGTGTATATATATATATCCTATAAGAATTTTTTATTTTTCCCTCCTAACAGCAGTGTTATGATGTCAACAGGATGGAAAGGAAGTTTTGGGGCACATGAAATTATTCAAAATTTATGCATGTATTTCAAACAAAAACAATTATAACTATTCTTCAAGATAAGGGCCACAGTTTTCTACAACTCTCTGCCATCGGTCCGCCAAGTCTCGGATCTGGTCAAAGTACCAATCGTTCGACTTAACGACGGTTAATCTCAAAAGCAGCAACCGAATCTTCGTTGTTCAAGTTTTTTGAACGAATGTTGTGCTCGAGGTCAAGATCTCCGGCATTGAAGCATTAAAACCAGCGTTCAGCAGCACATTTGTTTGTTGTGTCTTCCCCTTCAACTTAACTGATTTCATCGATTGCAGCTCATTGTGAATATAATCTTTCTCCAATAATGACACAGAAAAAACGAACTGCGTTTGTATCGTTTGGTATGGCGAAGGTATTAGCAAAGTAAAAATAAAGACGACTGATATCTAGGCCTTCAGTGGGAAGAATCCATGTAAGAAACTATATTCCGCTGATATGATTGAGTTATTTATGCTTATAATAGTGTCGCAAACTTTCTTTCCAACAATATATCTCTCCAAAGATGCTGCGTGACAGCGTTCACTTGAAGGTTCAACCTCTGCCTGGGACCAAAATTTTTGTATATCTTTTACTAGGCAGATCATCTATGCTTTCCAAAGCAAAATACAGCACTAGGACTTCGACTAGGGAGAGAGACAGATTTATCAAAGTTTGTTTTCACTCGAGTAAACAGGTCGCCATGTGGCTAGGGATGCTCGGCTCCGGTCGATGTGGAGTTGATCCCCAACACTTTCTAACAGTTAAAAACGAATGCACTGTGGAATGCCTTAGCGTGGCTGTCGTCGACATTGCAAGGAGTCATGCTCAACCACTATTTTACGACGTTCGTTCGAAGATGAATTCCTCAAGCGAGCGATGAATGCGAGGGCCAACCGAATGCCGCACAGTAGAAAAAAACTGTGATACGAATCAAATAAACGGAATAAACTAAAAGAAGGTGGCACACACCCATGCAGAAAAACGCTCTTTGACTATTATTTCAAATAAAACTGCAAAATAAACTCAAAAATTTTTACTAATGCTACATAGAAGGATAAAAGCTCTTGGCGTTGATCAATCCTTGAAGGGTGCAGCATGCGCTGGTCTTCAATCTCTAGCTTCGTTTGAGGCGATTGAATGATCTGGCCTTTACAATGACTCGCGGTGGCCCCGCTATATTGAGTTACTGCTGCTTAGTCTCCAAGACAAGTATAGTCCCACTTTAGCGACCCTAGAGGGATGGATGACCTGGTGAGCCATGAGAGCGAGATGGAATCATCGACCTCGTGTGCCACTCTAACCACTGCGCACATGCGCAAATATGACTGATTTCAGCGCTTTAATAGGAAAGAAGTATGGTGAAGTAGATAGCGACATAAATATAAACAAACTCACTCTCTGCTGGCCATTTCTCCATGATATCGTCTTTGCTCGACAGGCAGTTCGAGGTCGAAATAGCACGAGTCACACATTCACGCATAAGATTCGCTCGAGTGAGTGAACGAATCAGCAAAGCCATACCTAAACAGCTCGTTGCACAGGCTGCTAAAGCCCGACAAAATCCTCTAAAATGCTTCTAGCTTCCGTAAATCGAGATCATAAAACATTGACGTGTTAAGATATGCTAAATAACAAGACGAAACAACCATACGACTTCCATGAAAAACATAAAACGTCGAACGAATTGATAACGCCTTAGGCAATCCTTGAGAGTGCTTCTCACTCCAGGGGATCAACATCGCAGAACATTGATTATCTTTACTAACCCTTTATTTTCCTGCTTTTTTTGATGCAGTGTTGAAGACCTCTATTAATACATCTGGGAATACTGAGCGATAAACAGAACACTCAATCTCCCACGGGGTTAACCGAAGGAAAAAGTACGGAAACGCTAACTCTTTGCGGACAATGAGGGTCATTCTAACGTTCGAATTTTCAGAGGTCTTTTTTCGCTGAACAAACCTTTTTATCCAGAATCCATGCTATCAATCGAAAGCTCAAATCTTGAGGATTCCCATACTTTGGTCTCGTTATCGAAAAATCCTTTGTAGTACGTTGTAGAAGCAAAAACGAAATTATGTTTAGCAATCGGTTTGTCTCAATTGTTCAGCTAAAGTCGGCGGACCGCTTTTCATTGAACTACACTAAGCTCATTCGGTAGCTCAAATCTCCGCAAATTTCAAACCTAAACTGCTTCTCGAAAAGGTTTTCACAGCGCATTGTGAGAGCGGAAATAAAATACACTTTACATCCCAAGTTTTTTTAGTACACAGGAGTTATGTATGCACAGAAAGTATACAGACTTGTAGAGAAAATCCTGTTCTATCAGAGCGATACAAGAGACGTAAAGGATCGTCCAAAACAAATAAAGAAAATCCTTGTTGAAGAAAGAAAATCGCACGCCCTTTAGAGATCGATTATGCCGTCGTCCGCTAAGGGTTGATGAAAACTGACTCCTGTCTGAGATCGCATGTTTTGCATCCAACTCAACATTCTTAGATGTATATTTAGAACAAAACACTGACGAGGTCAGCAGGTACGTTGTGTAACACGAGAGACCATCGAACATTTCTCGTTAAAAAAAAATTAAGCGAGACGCCAGAGCCAAACAAACAAGAAAAAAAAACATCGACGTGATCGGACACGTTATATAACACAAGCAGCAAAACAGACACCTCTCACAGAGATAAAAAAAACAAGCTAAGCGAGCTGCTAGAGCCTGCCGGAATCCTTGAAAACACTTTGATCTCCGATAAAATCGATAACCCAAAACACTAACGTTTTGAGAGAGCTTACGTAAAAGAAAGAACACTCGTACAGCTCTCCATAAAAAGAAAAGACATTGAGCGAATCGATAAAGCCGCACAAAATCTTCCAGTCTTTCTCAATGCAGAAAATCAATAGAAAAAATCGATAACTAAACACTTACGTGATCGCACATGATGGGCAACACGAAAACTCCCCTACAACTCTCAACAAAAGCAAAAAACCTTGGGCGAGTCAATAAAAACAGACAGCACCCTCCAAAGCGCTCGCAGCTCGGGAAAATCAATCGGAGAAAATCGATGAAAAAATCGATAATTGATCGATAAAGGAGAGCAGTGACACGGTCGGACAGGTAAAGTAAGACGAGGTAACGGTAAGCACAACCTAACGGCCAGGCACAACCTCACCAAGCAACAAAACCTAGGTCGTAATTGTCCGTTCGGCGTGTTACAGTCACTTTTATACACCTGTTCGCTACTACAGTATCCGGCCCGCCGTCCACACTGACGCGAGCGCGGGAAATTCAAATTTCACAAATTATAGCGTCTTCGTTCATATGGCTCCACTTCGATTTTTGATCTAAGTTGTGGTTATTTTTTCCATATAGTCCGTGTAGGCTGATAAAATGCTTCTTTTATAGTTGTTTATTTCACGTCGAACTGATCTCGATCCTCAGAGAAATGAGCGATAGGCAAAAATTCGACCCAAGCTGGGAGTTGAACCCGTGCTTCACCCATACCAGGGCCGCATGCTACCCCTACACCACCGAGACTACCGCTTAATTTTTACCTGCCACTCAGTTCTCTTAGGTATATCTGGAACTTATAACACTGCGAAAAAGCAGCAGAAAAAAGAATTCTTTGATTTCAATGCTTCTTACTCAACGATTTGTTCTTCGTAAAAGTCGAGAAAGATTTAAGAATGATGGCCGTTTATTTAATCTTTTATTAAAATATCTCAGCTCATAGAGGATTTCAATAACAGCAATAGAAACTTTTATTTTGAGTGCTTTATCAAGACCACGCTCAAATTTCAGTAGATCCTTTCATTATTATTTGAGCCAACATGTCATGTGGTCTGCTAAGGGCTCTTGTACAGCCCGAGACACGTGTTTCGTCCTTACAGACTCATCAGCCGAGCAGAACCCGTCGTCTTCCGATATTTTTGAACTCAGTTCTCTCGGGAGCTCTGCTCCCTTACAGAGAGTCATCGAAGACGAAGGCTTTACACTCCATGTCAAGTGAAATTTGCTCCTAACACAGAGTGTTCACTTGACATAGAGTGTAAAACGTACGTCTCTGATTACCCTCTATAAGGACTGTAAGGCTCCCGAGAGAATTGACTGGTAATAAAAAGATCAAAAGACGACGCGTTGTGTCCTACTGACGAGTCTGTAAGGACGAAACACGTCTATCGGGCCGTACAAGAGCCCTTACCAGACCACATGACAAGTTGGCTCAAATAATAATGAAAGGATCTATAACAATAGAAACTGTTGGAGTGAGCGATGTTTGCAATCGGTACTTTCCGGTTATAAGGGGAAAAATGAAGAACCGACCGCGTTCGTTGGACAGAAACTATTCATAGGAGTGTTGGCTGTCCAGCCAATGAGGTCGGTTTTTCATTGGTCCCCTCATAACCGAAAAGTACCTGCAAGCCATCTTAAGTTCTTTCATTTATTTTTACACGGCCCATCATATATTTTGGGGCACCATGCCTGAGTGGTTGTGATGCTTGTCGCGGCATGCGTGGAGCCGACCTCTAATCCCCCAGCACTCTCCGGCGGTCAGCAAGAGCGCCCCCCTGAACGCCACCGGCTCGATATCCTCGAGATTACAAGGTGACATGCTCGACCGGTATTCTACGTTATTCAAGAACAAGACAAGAAACGAATCGAATGCTAAAAGAACTGGGATCCGCACAATAAATTAAAAAAAGGATTTTGAGTTATATGTATATATTGCGATGTAAAAGTTACATTGTTTTTTTATCGTGTTATTATTGTGATTCCAGGCTACCCAAGCTCCCGACGCTCTCACTTGGAGGTCCAGCTAAGAGTAACCCATAACAGGAATGACCGCCCTCATGGTAGCTATTAGTCGCAAGGTGGTAGTCACCCTCTGATCCACAAGGACCGGCGACTTCTCTAATGTGGCGACGAGCTGACGAAACCCTGGCTAGATTTACCTCAGGACTCTACGGAACAGAACAGCTAAACCAGCACGGTTTCCCTGTGCTGGGTTTCGCACTATCCGTGAAGACGGGTCGACAGGGTAGTCGAGTATTTTTATGGTTGTATATATTTTCTTATTTAAAATTATTCATTACTATATAGAATCGAAAATCTTTGGATAGTGCGGATCTCACCACCTGAAATTATTCTCGTTTGGCTGTTTGTCCTCATGAGTCACGAGGTAAGCCTCACCGGGGTTTCCTCAGATCGTCACCACATTAGAGCAGTCGCTGGCCTTTGTGGATCAGAAGGAGATTACCACTTTGAGCCTTGGTAGCTACCAAGACGGCGGCCAATCCTGTTCCTGTTTACTATTAGCTGGGGTTTCCGGGTGAAAACCTCGGACCCCTTCTCAGCTTGGGTGGCCCTGCTGGGGGGTCACACCCCTCCGCCGTACTTCGCATTCCGACAACCAGAGGCACCTTCCAGCTATGATTAGGTGGTTAGTATCTGGGAGGATTATTATGATTATACCATCGATTGTTTGCTAAGTTTTTATCATCATATAAAACTGAAATTCCTACTTTATGTTAAGCTTGAAACATATTTTTCAGCGTCTTGTTTCAGAACCGTATTTTGACGCAAAAATAATTGAGCAATTGGCGTTTCTTCCCTTAAGAGAATACAATCTTTTTCAATATATCCTCTACGTTTGTAGTTTCCTCTATCGCAGTGGAAATTCTGTAACTACAAACACATACAAGATTTTCTTATAACTAGTATAGAGGACTATTAGTATTCGGAGAACGGGGCTGTGACCGAGTGGCCAGTGATGATGCTTGGCACGACTCGACGCGGGTTCGACCTCCGATCCCTCAACACCTTTAGCTGTTCTGTTCCGCAGAGTCCCGAAGCAATCCATACCAAATTCCTCACGGAATGCTCAGCCTGGCTATGCTTGGTATTGTAAGGAGATATGCTCAACTAGTATACTATGACGTTCGTGAAGAAAAATCCTCAATCGAGCGATGAACGCGAGGAGACGAATCAAATGCTAGAGGTACTGGGATCCCTCACAACCAAGAAGAAACAGTGATACTCAGATAAAGGAATAAAGTAAAGAAAGTGACAGTATTGAGATGTTATAAATATATATCATATAGTTAACCCTTTGAGGACGACAATGATAGGCAGGCGGCGTTGGAGCGTCGCTTGCGCGGCAGTTGCAGGGTCTCAGGCAGGCGACATCTGCATGTCTATGCGTGCATATCTGGCTGTTTGCCTGCTTTCCAACAAGACACGACGCCGCCATTACAGTAGCTGAGTGGGATTTGATGTTGCGCGGCTCCGTACGAAACGTACTATACGGTCTTTACAGGGTTAAGTGATTGGCAAAGCTTGTGATCCTAGACTTTAGTTGAACCCGCGTCTCACCCTTCCTGGGGGCCCGTGCTAAGCATGGCATTACTTAGGCTCATGTTCTACTTTCACTCTGTGATATAAGGCATTGAAGCGCTTGCGAAAAGGATTAGACACGAGTTTCTGTTCCTGTCTGCATTTCGACGTTTTGTCATATCATTCAGATTTCTAGACTTCAGATGACTTTATCGTTTTTGACAGAATTTGTTCTTGAACATATTTGCAGTTGAAATGTTAGTTCGTGGTAATTATGTGTGTAATCAAGGCAGTCTTTTAAGGTTCCTTATACTACGTTTATGAAGTTCTGAACTCCGAAATACTCGAGTAACCTGGAAATCATCGTTAGTTCTGGAAAAACTAGCATCGTCGCGAAAAGGAAGAGATCCAGGAGTAGAAGATAGACCACATGATCATTTTAACCCTTGAGGACCAGCGTTGATAAGCAGGCGGCGTCGCTTCGTCGCTTACGCGATAGACAGGCGGAATCTGCACATCTGTGTATCCATGCCTGGCTGCCTGCCTGCTGTCCCACGAGACGCGACGCCGCCATTACAGTAGCAGAGTGAGATATAACGTCGCGCACTGAGCATCAAAAAGACTCTATGGTTCTCAAAGTGTTGGGGAGAATTCTTCCTTGTCAACATTACGTTATGATTACTGCTCATTTACGAACTGCATAGAAGATAGTGCTATGATGAAGTCAAATCACTTGAAGCATAAGTTATTGCGAAATTACTGTTATATCATGCTGATTTTGCTTGATAAAGGAGATAGAGACCTAATAGAAGAGTTAACTGTGGACAGAAATAAGGAAGAAGCAACGTTAGCGAAGCGGTGGTTTCAGTGTTGTAGTGATAGCCCGCGCTTTGATTTAGGTAAAACGCGGGTTCAAGTGCACCCGATGTTCAAGATTTTGCATTTCGTTCAGCGTCCATGTAACATGTATAATTTTTCGAAGGGATTCTCTGTGGTAATCTTCAACATTTTCGGTCGCCCTAAAGAGATCTTTGGTTTTGGCTAAAGGTCTTTGGAGCGCAATGGCTATGTGCACCGAAATTAGTGCATGATTTTCGTGGGACACTGAAAGGTGACGCGCACCCGGTTTTTGAGACTCCTGTTCTATTGTTCAGTTCCCAGAAACAATAGAAGGCAAAAAAGCAAAGTTGCAGGCGAAAAAAGGAGTATAACTTAGTGACGCTTTCAGAGGTCTGTTGAATTCTTCCTGACACTACAATGGGCGTATCGGCCTGGAACGTGTTGAAGACGAAGAGATCAGCGGTGCGATTCTTGCAATTTATGAATGACCAGAACAAAAGAGCATTCAGTCAAGGGCATAGCACCAGTTGAAGATCCGATCAAAACGTTCGAAGGCCAGAAGGTTCAAAAACATGGCTACACTAGCAAAGACAATGGAGGCCCCTTTCCAAAGAGAGTTATTCCTCAAAGAAGGTCAGTGAGGCACCTGCGGTAATGGGCTATCACGCTCATTTACGCAGCCACTCAATAACATTAGCATTAATTAATTTGTCATAACTATGTCGCTTATGTACAAACACAGCTATGTAACTTAGTTTTTCGAAGGGCCTCTTTAGTGCATTGTAAAATTGAAGCTCAACAAAATGGAATTGAGTTACGAGCACATCTTCGTTATATATTTGAGAAAATTTTTGGTTCCTTCATGTGAGAAGGTTATGAATGAAAAACCGAATCCTTTTTCTGGACAAAAACTTTTTATAAGAGGGTTAGATCATTCAAAAGTTTGAATCTCTGGCTAGAGCTGTTTTCAAGAAGTTTTTTACATAATGCTTCAGCGAAAGGAAACCATTTGTTTCACTCGCGCGTATTTCTCGCAGTACCGAGCTCTTGCTTAAGACTATTAGTAATCATTAGATACGTAAGATTTAGCGACTCCAATGTTGCTTATTTTCTCTAAAGACCTTATTTTTTGCACTGCAGCCGGAAAAATAAGACTGATTCACATATGCGAACATGTGTATTTCGGCTAATCTACCAGGACGAGAGGAGCAGGGCGCATGTGTCGATTTCAAACAATCATCGGTCGATTGGCGCTTTGACGGGCCACATGGAAGTGCGATTTTTGCTATTCGATTATGAACTGTTTTTCCGCTTTGGAAGAAACTCCAGATTAAACGTCTGAATCTGATATGGAAAGATTTTCT